GAGACCCGAGATCCGAGAACCGAGAACCGTGATTTCTAGATCTTTGTGTTTTTTCTGAAACAGAGATTTTCAAAGTATTAATTTTATCCCCATGATTTTCACTTTTATATCGTAAAACTTTTTTTAACCGTAAACTTTTTTCTCCCACATTCCTTTTCGTAAATAGCATTTATTCCGAGAACCGAGATCCGAGAACCGAGACCCGAGATCCGAGAACCGAGATTTTCGAAAAGTTTTCTTTTTTTATAAATCTTCATCAGCCTATGGACTTGTTCGCATTAGCTAGCTTAAAATAAAAATCTGCAGTAAACTAAGGCCCTACACAAATATTTTTGTTTTTGTTAGGCGCTCTCATAAACCAAGTCGCTGTTATATCTAGCGCAGAATGCGACCTCCAAACCTCAGATGATTTAAGAGCCGCATCCTGTTTTCGAAGATTCATTCCCGTTTAGCCGTTATAGCGAACCTCTTGAATAGTCTTCCTAGAAAAGATCAGGGTTTACTGGAAAGAGGATCATTAAAAAGAATTCTTCCCATTGCTCTCGGCGCATGGACTCTACAAGTCAATCCGGAGACTAGTAGCGAACATCTAACAGCATGCAGCCGTCCACTAATAAAACACGAGAAGAACTAGGCGATTATAGAGCTAGAAGTCTAGGCTGTAGTTTTCGCCTTGAAACAATTCTATCCCTATGTCGCCAACAGTTCTATTACCTTGTAACTGACCATGCGTTACTGAAATCATTGATGCACAGGTCAGATCTCGTGGATCGTCTCGCCAAATATCAAATCACCTTACAGGCGTACGACATCAAGTTTGAGTATCGTGCTGGAAAGTACGATACTTTAGGAGATTTCTTTAGTCGCTTTCCTATTGCGGAAATAGCGTACAGGTGCATACACTACCATCTTTGGATCAAATCCGGCAAGCTAGAACGATTCTGTTTATGGAAATCTCATCAAGTTCTTCAAAGAAGAGTTGGATTTTTCCCCACCACAATTTTCCGACGCTTTGAGCAGGTACTCTTTCTATAATAATTGTTTCTATTAACTTTACAAAATATGTCTCGATTGATTATTCCTGACTAGCTGGCTTACCCGGCTCCGCCGTATCCGGACCAAACTTGGCACACATACACTTCGGGCCCCGGCGGGTGTCACAGTCCACTTTTCGTTATCGATCGATGTCGATTTTATCGATTTTTATCGATTTTTTCGCAGAGTTCACCTACAGGGCTAGGAGTTGGCACAGGGGGGAAGTGAGCATGGGGATTACGAATACAATATTAGTTTTCAGAATTATCGGTTACTTTTATTGATTTTCTCGATTTTTTGTAAATTTTGACATGCGAGGCTGGGATTTTGCACAGGGGGGTAATCGAGCATGCTGATTACGAACACAATATTAGTTTTCAGGATCGTCCATTACTTTTATCGATTTTATCGATTTTTTTGTAAAGTTTGACCTGCGGGGCTGGAAGTTTGTACAGGGGGTAATCGAGCATGCAGATTACGAATACATTATTAGTTTTCAAGATCGTCCATTACTTTTATCGATTTTATCGATTTTTTGAAAAGTTGAGCTAGGGGGCTGGAATTTGGCACAGGGTTGTAATCGAGCATGCTGATCACCCCCTTGGGGATGATCAGCATGCTCGATTACCCCCCTGTGCCAACTCCCAGCCCCCTAGCTCAAACTTTGCAAAAAATCGATAAAATCGATAAAAGTAATCGATCATCCCGAAAACCAATATTGTATTCGGAATCCCCATGCTCGATTACCCCCCTGTGCGAACTCCCAGCCCCGTAGCTCAAACTTTGCAAAAAAATCGATAAAATCGATAAAAGTAATCGATAATCCTGAAAACCAATATTGTATTCGGAATCCCCATGCTCGATTACCCCCCTATGCCAACTCCCAGCCCCGTAGCTCAAACTTTGCAAAAAAAATCGATAAAATCGATAAAAGTAATCGATAATCCTGAAAACCAATATTGTATTCGGAATCCCCATGCTCGATTACCCCCCTGTGCCAACTCCCAGCCCCGTAGGTGAACTCAGCAAAAAAATCGATAAAAATCGATAAAATCGATATCGATCGATGACGAAAAGTAGCCTATGACACCCGCCGGGGCCCGTAGTGTATGTGTGCCAAGTTTGGTCCGGATCGGTTCAGAAATGGAATTTTCTATTCGGAACATACGTACACACAGACAGACATACATACAGACAGACAGACAGACAGACAGACAAACAGACATTCAGCTTTATATATAAGATAAGGCCTGTCAAGATAAGATCATTGAGATTTTCCACACAAACCCAATTTTGGGATCGCATGACCTACGAAAACCGTAAAAGCTATATCTGCTGAATACTTTTGGAAAAGTTTGGAAGCTCACAAATTCAACTCAAATTGTTTAACCAATTGTGCCAGGAAATTAAACACTTTTTTGGTTCCAATTTCCCAACGCTCTTTGAACTATTGCACACGGATATTGTTGGTCCTTTACCACAGTGTATAAACAGTAATCGATTCATCACCACGCCTGTGCGTTCAGCCAACTCATAATCTGCACCGCAACCCTACCAGACAGCAGACCTTGTTGTCAAAGCTAGGACAAACGATGTCATGGCTAAATACGGCATTCCTAACGAACTAGTGTCCGACTGTGGTTCTAACTACACTAGTGAGATGCTTGCCAAAATAAACCGAGTACTTTGCATTTCCAACATGTTCACCACTAGTGCAACCACAAAACGAATGGGCAAGTTGAAAGGATGGTTAAAGTGATTACAGACTCTCTAACGGCTTACTGTACAAAAGCGAAAGAGCTATGGTCTGATTTTCTGCAGCCGGTCTTCTTCGCCTACAACGCTAGTATCTAACCGATATCACAGGAAATAGCCCGTACCTCGTTGTGTATAGTCTTCACCCGATCATCTGGTGCGACATAGTCCATCAGTTACCATCGAGGATCTCCTACGCAACCGATAGTTTCACCGACTGACCACTGCACTACAAACACAACCATGGACGATGGTAACCAGATCGCTAGCAAGACAGCTACCATAAATCAGGTTGCAACTTCCATGTCGAAGTGTTTTCCAAGGATATTTCCACTGAAGATTTACTTTTACTAAGAGACGATACAGTCCAAAATTTACAACCAGTGGAAATACCTTTTTATTGTTATGCAAGTCAGTCGTCTCAATGTCACTATCTCTAATCTGATTGGACCTATTAACACTCACTGTCTCCATATGAATAAATTCAAGATCTATTCTCATAGTTCAACATTGGCTAGAGTTTCCCCCCAAAAACTCACTATATCACCTATGCCAACGGAAATTCCAGAATTGTTGAACCAACAAAAACTGTTCGACGATCTCACCGTCTGCAGCTCAAACAACCTTTTAGAGCATTAGATATACACTCCAATCTCGATGGAGAGAACGAATAACTATTCGTTAAATTTTTGTATACACTCGATTTTGCAATGAATAGTTATTTATTCTCTTAGGTTAGTTTGTTCCCCTTTCTTTTTTCCTCCGCACCGCCGCGTCTGTACAATTTCATAATTTTCTTTGAACAGGTAATTCAAAGAAACTATTTGCACTAAGCAGCTCAAAAAAAAAAACTTTTTAAAACAAACAAAATTCTGCCTTTATGTTGAATGAAAAAACAGTGTGCAGTGCCCAATTCAACATATGAACTCGTTATGCCCCTGTTTTTATGTCCTCACAGAAAATGTTACTGTGAACAAAATTTTGTAACTTTGTAAAATTACTACTGACTTAAGTTTTATAATTGCCTAAAGATTATTGTTGAAATCTACATTTTCTACGTATATCATGAATTTCACTGACTTATCACTATTATCACCTTAAAATAATTTGCTGCTAACCAGTTTTATACCTTCTACTTCGTTGTTCAGTATTTCTACACGCTGTAAACTCCACCCCATATGCTGAATCATTTGCCCCTCTGATCAACTCCATTTCTATCATGCCCCAATATCAATCGGTCCATCTCCATTTCCTACAACCCCACTCCAAGTCCTTCCCAGCATCATGTCGGGAACCCCATTCACGTCAACTGCATCTCTCCGCAGTCCTCCCCCGCTCCTCAGCTACCTCCAAGCTCGAGGACGATCTTACTCAAAGCCATGGGATATTCTAGGTGAAGGTCTTGTCTGCTCATAGTCCACCGGATCCATATCCTCACATTCGTATGTATTTTGATATATCACTACTTCAACTGTATGTTCTCGCCGTATATCACGTGCTTACTTCAACAGCGCACGTTACTCGGAAGAACAAATCTATCCCCATCCTACACTACATTACCTATGCCATATATCAATTGTTCTCGCCGTATATCACGTGCATATTCACGCACGTTACCCGGAAGAACATCAACCACGCCAATGCCAACTACAACAGTCGAAACTCCAACTATGTCACAAGCTCGAGGACGAGCTTTCTGAAGGAATGGAGATGTCGGGACGCAGCCATCTACAACAGCTGCTCGAGAAGGAGGTTGGCCGAAGACAGCCAACCTCTGGCAGTGACCTTCGACCGCCGGCAGTAGCCGGTCGTCTTTCCCTTCCCCCTTTCCCCCTTTTGTATATAACTATTTATGATGAACATTATAGTAAGGCTTAAACCCGCTACACATCAGGTAAGGGGATCGCGAACCCTTATACCTGACAAACGTAAATTCAAGAATATGGCAAACAAACGGGGGCAATAAACGCGATTTACGCTCTGAGTAGAGAAAAGGAGAGACATCATCTCGATTTAAGTCTTCTCCATCCAAATTACGAAGAAGACTTTCAGCCATTGTCAAGTTCTCAAGATTACAACCTAACCGTTTCGCTTCCTGGAAATTCCCTTATTTAAGAAGTGTGACTGCAATTGATCATTTCTCCATACTTGTCGTCTTGATCCGCCATGCGCAGAGACTTGTATAAGAACATTAGCTTCTAGCAAGTCAATTAATGGTCAGCAACCTAAGTAGCAGACCATACTAGATGTCGACCGGTTCTATGCATTTATAAGCCAAACTTACCTTGGATACAAAAACTGTATTCACATGCGGAATGTACTGGAAGTTTTGCAAGATTTTGATACGTTCATTGCGACTTGTATCGCCGTATTGGATGAGAAACCGACAAATTGGGAAATTGTTGGGATTCATGAGAGCAAATTGTAATCCTCGAGCAATCTAAGCCCTGTAAATGATGTCATGAGTGAAGCTAAGAATATCGCGCAGCTCTCCCTTGAAGTTTAACATTATATTTAGTGAGAAAAGATGAGCTAAGGAACAAACCTCAAATAATAGTTCATCCAGTTCCTTCCAATTAGCCTCATAGATCTTCGAACCTGAATAGAACATCTCTCGTACCCAAAGCTTCTCAATTACAGGAAAAATTACAAAATCTTTAATTAGATCAAAAAGTTGGATAATGAACAACAAAACATACCATCTAACAGCAGGAGGCCCCATTCTTGGCTCTGAATAAACATCATTGCCTCTTCGGCTGCATAAGTGCGCTTGTCAGGATAGGCCAGCATTGAGTAAGTGCTTATGTAGACGACAGGCTGCAAAAATTCCACTGATTTGCTTTATAAGTAGATCTTTCAACATCGCTAGCTGCTAAGAACAACAACAGTGTGCCGGACAGATGCTGAAACAGATGTGTTTTCTCACACCTACTAACCTTGAACTGAGCTTTCCACTGCTCGACAGACACATTGGAGTTAACCCAACAGAGGCATCTCTTGTTAACAGTTGTGACCGTAGTTACCCCAGCTAACGTCTTTCCTGCACCGCATGGCAAAACAATGACCCCAGATCTGCAAAATTTGAGATTTTTCGAATGATCACAGATCAGTGTATGGATATATAACAGACAGAAAGTTGAAGGACTAGCTGAAGCACGAGATAAACTACTTGGCTCCGCTGTTTCCAAACATTTTTCTGAGGCTCATCTCCGGATATGGATGAAGCGTCGTCGAGGTTTCACGTCCATACCAAGATTAGGATTCATAGTGTCATTTCCGAAATCGTATTCTGCCAGAAGTGGGTACTCCAACTCGATACACCGCTTGTACGGTCTCATTGCTCTCCTGAAACAAGCTTATCCAAAATGTCAGACATAGTAGTTCAAGTAATAACGAAAAGAAAGGAGCAATGTTAGAATCACAAACCCGTGTTTCCTCAACCGGTTTTTCTTCCTCCAAAAATACACGATTGGATAACTTTATCCTTCAGAAGCTTTTGCAAAAGTCAGAATGACGAGACTCAACAAAGTACCGATTGTCTTTCAAGACAAGCTTCATCCTTTCCGTAGCTCAGCCTGCACATCTACAATGACTTGTAAAGCTATCTGCAAAAACGAAAAATTTCACAAATATTTAAACTCAGTATCACAAATATTCAAACTCAGTATGTACAGAATCAAGGAATGGTCTACATACCTTGATAAACTCTATTATTCTTAGTGATAGGGCACTTTGCTGAGCCTCTCCAGATACTCTATGATATTCATGAACATGAATATGGTCGACATACTGGCTAGAATAAACAACTGTAGTTGAAAAACAACATCGCATTAGCAGAAAGCGCTTACCTCTGCTATCCCGATCAATAAATCTCGTTCGTGCTTATAAACTGGGCTATACGACTCTAGATAGATCGGCCCATCTGGAGCGACCCATAGCGGGCGTGAGGCGTGGTCAGGCTGAATATAATTTTCAGTTGGAGAAATTATCAGTAGACACTCTCTATGACACATTACAATGAGATCAGAGTATGAAAATCGAATCTGAATTCAAGCAAATAACAAATGAGGCATATATTAGGTCGGCACTGAAAAAAACAAGTGAAAAAAAATCAAACTGCTTAATTGAATACACCCAAGGTGTATCAGTGTAAGCCGAAATTGGAAATTTAGAGCGAGGTATAGTAGCATTCAAATCAAAAATTATAAATAATAGAAGTTTTGAAAGAAACCAAAGTCCTTACCCTGACGAGATTATTGAGACCTTGTCTGCTACCGATCGAAACAGTCATTACAGGAAAATGACAAAGACAAACCATCATAGTCGCTGTGATCAACCCATCATCTGCAACATAGCGTTGTCACGAAGAAACATAAAGGGTTGTCATCGCAACAAACAGTGGACATGATTGCAGCCATCCCTTATCTACCAAAAGCGAAACTAAGAAAAAGCGGAAGAAAAGCAATATTTGCGCCTCCGCTCCCCATAGGCAATTCTCTCGTGGAGTGTGCAATTCGTACTACAGAAATTGACCGGGTTGATCCATTGCAGATAAGGTTCTACGGTGTTTAGCTAAGACCTTGCCTCAAGATGGAATAAAATGTTAGTTTCAAGCATTACGGGAAACAGAAGTAAGCAAGACAACATGTAGCATGTTGCAGCAATTTTTGCCATGTTGCAACATACGCAACATGGCAGCAACATCAATGTAGCATGCTGCAACATACGCAACATGGCAGCAACATCAATGTAGCATGTTGCAACATACGCAACATGGCAGCAACATCACTGCAGCATGTTGCAACATACGCAACATGGCAGCAACATGACTGTAACATGTTGCAACATACGCAACATGACAGCAACATTACTGTAGCATGTTGCAACATACGCAACATGGTGGCAACATGACTGTAGCATGCTGCAAGATATGCAACATGGCTGGAGCAACATAACATTACTTATTTGCTGCAGCAACATGCACATACAGCATACAATTTGCTGCAATATGCATCGTATGCTTTGTCAATTATATCAAGGAGAAATATAGACAGACATCAAGTATGCATGCATAAATGATCGCCACGAAATTGAATGCCTTCATATCCTCCGTCGCAACGACGACCAACCTTCACAAGTTTTCGGTGACGAATTCGCGGACATGCCCGTTGTCCGGAGGATGGGTCATCCAACCTCGACGGATGGGCGACAGCGGCTGTCCTCTGTGCGTTCCCAGGTAGATGTCGATGTTGTAGAGAATGACGCAGGCCTTCACTACCTTTTGGAGCTTCGGAGGCTGAATGCGGGTGATGTTGTGAAGTATGCAGAAACGCCGCTTCAGCGCTCCGAACGCCTGCTCGACGACTCGTCGAGCTTTGGCATGCTTCCTGTTGAACCTCCTCTTCCTGACGTCATTCTCTGTTGTCCGCTCCCGGAAGGGCGCTATCACACTCCTGGAGTTGGCAAAGCCGGCATCTCCCAGGAGTCGATATCCTGGTCGAGCACGACCTTCGTCGAACTCGGCAGCTGCTTGCGAATGCTGCCATATGAATGAGTCATGGTGCCTGCTCGCGAATCCACAGTTGATGTACATGAAGCGGGCCCTGGCATCCACTACCGCAATCATATTGACTGCGCAACAAGCCTTTCGGCAGTAGTAGTGGTTGCCGAAGTTGACAGGGCGCTGGATTCGGATGCGGCAGCCATCGACGCATCCAATGACATCTAAGGCCCGTATGCACGTACATCCCCGTGGGGAGGGGATGTGCGCTTAACCATTGAAATGATCCCCGCTGGGGATCCCCTCCCCTCCCCGCGCGAACCCCCGTATGCACAAAGACAATATCGGACAAGGGATCCCCGTGGGGAGGGGAAGTGAACCCTCTTATGCACAAGAGGGGATCAAGCGGGGAAATCACATTGCTTTCAAATTTTCGATGAAAAACTCTTTCTTATTTCATATTTTGACTGCAACTCATCTTCATCTCTTCACTTTCATTAATTTAGGGTTGCGGAATGCGCGCATGCAGTGACTGCGCTCGGGGCACTAAAAATGATTTTTTCTACTCCGATTATGTTCCTGCTTTCTTGGATGCTGCCCACTTTCGCTCATGCTGCTCCATTTCAGCGTAAAAATGTTGAACTATAGAAGTTGATGTGTCTTTGCAAGGGAATGGCTTGAAGACGTTATGCTGCCGAAAAGGGGGGGGGGGGGTGCCGCGCGGACGCTCAAAGCAGTATTCTAACACATAACAGAAGCTGCAGATTGTGCCAGCTCTCCATAAACGCTGTAGCTATCAGCTGCATATCATCCTTTATCCCAGGGGAATGATCCCCAGCAGCCATCCCTGCTATGCACAAGGGGAACGCTGGGGAGTGGATCACTCCCCAGAAGATTTCCACTCAGAAATAGGCAAATATGCCACTTTCTAGATTTTTTCGAGGCAGCTTTTGTTAAAATAACAAGATAATGGCAACATGTCATGAAATATGAAAGCTACAATGTGTTTACAGCCTATATAGTTAAAACAATTATGTTATATGAAAAATGCGCAAATTTTCTGAATGATCAAGAACTCCTACAAATAATCAAAATTGGCAGCTATTATTGCTCGGATTTCTTCTCAAGAGGCGAATATAGAAAAGAAAGACAAATTGCAAGCCACAGGTCGCTGAGAGAAGAACCCGGCTTTCAAAGAAAATCATCTATCAAAATGAACAAATGCTTGGTAATGACTGAGCAGAACCAGAATATCCGCGTCTCTGGCATGATCTACACCATCGAACCCCTACTTCGTTGCAGGGGATGTCGATCCCCTCCCCCGCGTTATTGAGTTGAATTCGCGCATACGGGGTTCGAGTGGGGGAAGGGAAGGGATCCCCTCCCCCATTCGAACCCCGTATGCACTGGGGTTCGCTCGATCAATACCTCTGAAACCATTCACACCATCCCCGCTTAGGTGCAGGGGAAGGGATCGCTCCCCTCCCCTCTGTCATGGCGGGGTTCGGCGGAGGGGATCGTTCCCCTGGGGATCCAGCTCCCCTCCCCTCCCCAGCGGGGACGTACGTGCATACGGGCCTAAATAAAGCATTTTATACGTGTTGAAGAATTTCGTGAAGTTCTTACTTGTGAATCTCGAGATTCTAGCGAATTCTCGAGACCTTCGCAAGCACCAGCGCTCGTCCGACGGCCAGAAGCGGAGGAAGCGGGCCTCTATTGTTGGATGGTTGAGAGCATCCACTACCCGGGTGACGACGTCGCTCACAGCCTTCTGACACACCCCAAAACAGTCAGCTATAACAGTTTGATGACTGTTGGTGGCCAGGTAGCGGAGCGTGATGAGGACCTGAAGCGAACAGAGAGTACCTATAGTGCACCTTCATGAAAACATCTCCAAACCTGGTCCTCTTTGCTGATCTCCCAAGGCTCCAGCCCTGCATCCGGCAGCAGCGGTTCGAGCATCCTCACGATCTTTTTAACATCTTCTCTGCGAAACCTATATTTCGAGTAGAAGATGCGATCGTTCTGCTGGAACACAGAGGAAGGATGGAGGCGTTCATAACGGACGTTCCTCTGGCGCTGCTGACGGACGTTGAAGAAGAGCGAAGCCATCTAAACCATTAATTCAGATACTGAGTTAATTTCAGCTTTAGAAATTGACGACCACGGCAATAAACTTGTTCGAACATTTCTGTAGTGTGTGTTTGCAATAAGATCAAGTGTTGAAACCCCTGAACCAGGGCAAAACGATTTGTAGCACGCAGGACTCGAACCTGACACGCACGGCACAACAGGCACTGCTCTTCACCACTCTACCATTTGGGTTATAACCAGGGTAAAGCGGGGGGTGCGGCACGCCGCAGAGGGGGGGTCGTATTGAGGAGTCAAAAGGGGAGGGGGTCGTAGTTAGGTGATCTGATTATAGCGATAACATGATATTCGTATCATATCCATAATTAGCACGTCAATTAACCCCTGTAGACAAAGTGTGAGCGAATTCTGAAGATTCAAGATACTAGGCTACCTAAGTGAAATGGTCAAATTCCAACATGGTTAACTTTGTTTTAAAGGTGAATTAGCTATCCGTTTTTGCACTCAAGACAAAGCACTACTCCTTCTTTGTCCACCTCAGGAATCCCGCTTCAGAAGACCTCCAAACTGTGGAATTAGAAGCCAACCAAAATCTCATTTTTCCCATTTTTCGCTTTTGATGGCTGTGCTTTCACCAAATATTACTCAGAGCTAAGAAGACGAATCAGGCTCAAAACATCCCTATGGAATCTACGAGGTTTAGGCTATCGATTCATATAAATATTGTCCGCAAAAAATGTTTTTTTT